AAAACAGGTACAAAGGAAGAGTACAAAATGTTTGAGAGGACCCAGGTCCTCTGGGGCTCCTGTGTTTAAGCTATTCCTGAAGAATGGAGTTATGTGGGTCAAGGGTTTACACCGAGGAAATGGGAAGAGTGTTCCAGAAAAACAAACTTGAAAACAGGAACTGTAGTCAGAACACAGAGAGTAAGAAAAGTGATGGGTTGAAGATTAAATCATTGCATCCCTACTAATTGTCCCTGTGGTGAGCATGACTGTTTTACCAGGATAAAATGGGGAGGATCATTTCCATCCAATGTTTCAGAGATGTCAAAAAGAAGATAGTAATATGAAGACATTGTTGAAAGCCTTTGAAGAAAGGCGTTGTAAACACTCATGCTGCTATTAAGCTCATTATTCATTTTGGAACTCAAGCAAAAGCATTGTTGCAGGCCCTTGGGCAAAACGAGTTTGCCTCAAATCTCTCTCTCCCTTGAAAAATGTTATCAAGGTCAATATTCAGCTTCACCACAATGGATCTGGTTAGCAGTCAAGCTTACTGAGCTACTGAGGTAATTAGGAAGAGAATGTTCTCTCTCTTCTTAATCATGCTGTCCTCTCTACCTTATAAAGCCTTTGGAAATTCTTTTCCTTGGTCCCCTGTCTAATTAGTAGCAATGGTTGCACTTCAGTTCCTTCTTCTTGCAGGGTATGCTCTGCATTTCCCACAGATGTCCACAATTCAGTCATCAAGGGATGACTTCTGGGTCAGTTGTAGGAGCCGACCTAATTAGCTCAGTTCTAAAGGCCTGACACTCAGATAGAATAAGACTAATTGAACAAATGAATTCCAATGGCAAACTCGATATAGAACTCAGTTTTTCAACTAAAACTGCATACTAGGTTTTATTGCCCATCAAACTTCATGGTGCTGAAACTGCGGGAAAAGCTAAGTTTAATTCAGCATACTGGTAACAACGGGGGCTGCCTCAAAGGCATTTCCACCAGGCAACTGAAAGAATTAGAGTACAGTATTTAAATAAAATTGAATAAAGTAGTGAACTGTGAGTTACAACTATGACTAAGAGTATTCATGTCTTTAGATATGTTGGTTTCTCTGGTGCTTTAAGCGTCCCCCCTGTGAGTAAGGTATACCAAGTATAAATGCTAGTTTCAGCCAATGGGAAAGAATAAGCATAGTCCTTAGTACCACCTCTTGCTCTGAGCTTGTCTACAAACTGCACAGTGTCTCCCAATCTCTTCTTGGCTTCTCTTTTTTGAGAATATGATGATTCTACCATCTCATGATGATGATTATTTTACCCTTTAAACATCTGAGAATTTTCTTTGCATGGATTCTGGAGTAATAAAATCTAATTCTTTTTTGATATGGTACATCAGATGAAATTTGAAGACAAACTTCTTTACAAAAAAATTAGACTCTTCTTGAAGGATTGAGCTATAAAACAGTGAATGCATGCTGATGAGCTTTTTAAATTCAGTTTAATGAAAATATTTCTGGATCAAGTTATATAGTTCTAAATCTTCTAGTGGCACATGATTAAAATCTTGAGTTTTACCTGTACTGCAGAAGGTTGAGTGATAAAATATGTAAGCAAACCAAACTCTTGGACAGGACAACAGCTGTGATCTTACGAAGGCTCTCTGTGGCTGTGAACTGCATCAGGTATATTTAAGAATGAGTTTGGTGTAAGAGAAGGATGTGGGTTAATTTTAAGCATTCAGACAGCAAACTCAGCCCCTATGAACATGGTGGGAGAAATTTCTGCATATGAGTTAGACTAATAGACTCACTCTAAATTAGATGGGCCATGAGTTTCTCAACAGGGGAAATGAAACCCAGTGAGACTGTCGTGTGCCTGTTCACACAGTGATTAACTGAAAAGCTGGAACGTGAAGCCAGGTTTTTTGTGTTTCCACTCAAGTACTCACAACACTTCTAAGTTGATTCATACAAATTTTGACTAAATAGAATTTAAACTGCTGGAATGCTTTTAAAATGTTTCTATAAATTCTTTGTTTTTCTTTCCAAAAGATGGAACCTAATTCTTCTCCCTGTAAGTGTGAATGAGACTTAGTGAATCACTTCTAAGGAATAGGATGTGGTGGAATGATAATGGATGACCAGGTTATTAAAGGCATCACAGTTACTGCCTTATTCTCTTTTTGGGTCATATGCTCTCTGGGAAGCCAGCTGCCATGTCACAAGAACACTCAAGAATCCCTATGAAGAGGTCAACATGATGAGAGACTAAGCCTCTACTCAATATCCACCAAGCAACTTAGGCCTCTTGCCAGCAGTTATGTGAGTGAGCTTGGAAGCTGATGCTTCAACCCCAGTCAAGCCTTCAGAAGACTGCAACCCTGGTCAACATTTGACAGCCATATGGGAGGTCCCAAGCCAGGATCACCTAGCTTAGTCACTCCCAAATTCCTGACCTACAAAAACTGTGAGATAATATTGCTAGTTCTAGCCTGCTAAGATTTGAGGTGCTTTTTATGCAAGGATAATTAATACAATAGCTTTATCACATTGCAACCTCTATTGTGTAGCTCAATTCTCCAAGAAATATCATGATTTCTTAGAAAGGTTTTTCTTCAGGTTTCCAGTATACAATATCAAAAGTCTTGCCATCGGGTCTTGGCTTAGAGATCAATTCTCAGATACAATGAAGTTGTTTATGAAGTTGTTTGAACAAGCTGCAAAACTGCTTTTGAATATATATATTGACTTTGAGAAGTGTCCCAGTTCTGCTGCATAATTGCCTCTTCAGGACGAGACCCTATCTTAGTTGTCTGTAGTTCATCCAAAGAGAAATGCCATCAGAATACAATTCTCCAACTTCTACTTTTGCACAGAGTTATTTTAGGAATAATCAAGAAAACTTTATCAAGTAGCTTCTTCATCTGGATAAATTATTTCAGAAATGCCCTGAAGTCCATGCAAACCTGGTTGTTCTATTGTTCTAAGGTATGTATTAGATTCTGTGAGAGTGTGAGAGTCAGGAGCTGACATGTCACTTCCCCATTTTTTTTTAAAGAGACAGAGTTTTTCTGTCACAAAAGATAGAGTACAGTTATACAATCATAGCTTACTGCAGCCTTTAACTACTAGGCTCAGCCTTCCAAGTAGTGAGGGTTACAGGTGTACACTACCACACCTGGCTAATTTTCTTTTATGTTTTGTAGCGACGGGTCATTATATTGACCAGGTCAATCTGAAACTCCTGGCTTCAAGCAATCCTCTCACTTCAGCCTTCTAAAACAATTGGAATGATAGGCATGAGCCACAGCACTGGCTATGCACCTCATCAAATGTTAATTGAGCTACACCAGCTTGAGTAACCATCTCATCTACTTTCAAAGAAGAAAACAAATTTGCATTCCCCTCACTGAGTTAATAAAGACATAAAATTGGGTTTTTTTAAATGTCTTTATTAACTCAGTGAGGGGATGCAAATTTGTTGGTGGCTCAGCCTGTAATCCCGCGCCTTTGGGAGGCTGAGGTGAGTGGATTGCCTGAGCCCGCAGGTTCGAGACCCGCCTGGGCAGCGAGACCTCATCTCTACAATAAATCAAAAAATCAGCTAGGTGTGGTAGTGCATGCCTATAATTACGGCTACTTGGAAGGCTGAGGCAGAAGGATCGCCGGAGCCCAGCAGGTCGAGGCTGTGGTGGCCAGGAGCGGCCACTGCACTCCAGTCTGGGCGACAGAGTGAGACTCCAACTCAAAAAAAAAAAAAAAAAAAAAGATTGTTTCATTCTCTAAGTCACTTGTGAATGAATCAGTATTCCATGGCAGACTCAGTTGTGTATTAATTGCCCTTAAGGGACATAAATATATTGGTATAATCTCAACAGTACAAAATCCTGAGCTGGAGAGTAACAGTCTTTTCTAAATGGTTAATATTAATACTTTAAATAAACAGATCTTGACCTAATTTATCAAAGCTTACCTTTTTCTCCATCAATATTAACTCCTATTCTTGAAAAAAAGATGTTGGGTACAACTCAGGGTTATACAAATGGTCGTTGTACAGGTAAAATTTGGGCTTCACTTTTGTCTCCACTCCACCTGGTTGATATCAGGTACCCTTATTGATGAAGTGTGCCCTTCCTTTCCCCTGGCAGTTTCCCACTACTGCCAATCTTTTTCTTATAGTATTATGATAGTTGTTCAGGATCCACTTATAAGTGAGAACATGTGGTACTCGGTTCTTTATTTCTGTGATAGATCACTGAGTATTATAGACTCTAAGTCCATCCAAGTTCCTGTGAAGTTCATAATTTTGTCCTCTTTATGGCTGCATAATATTCCATTGTGTATATGAACCACGTCTTTTTTTTTTTTTAAGATGTGGGGTACAATTCAGGGTAAGCTATACAAATGTTCACTGTACAAGTACACTTGTTGATGAGGTGTGCCCCTCCCTCCCCTGACAGTTTCCCTCAACTGCCAATCCGACCCCACTCACCCAGCAGTTTTCCACTACTACCAGTATCTTTCTTATAGTATTATGATAATTGTTCAAGGTCCACTTATGAGTGAGAACATATGGTACTCTGTTCTTTGTTTCTGTGATAAATCACTGAGTATGATAGACTTTAAATCTATCCGAGTTGCTGCAAAGTCCATATGTTTGTCTGTGTTATATGACTGCATAATATTCCATTGTGGTACCACATCTTTTTTAACCAGTCTACTTTCAGTGGGCAGCACAGTTGGTTCCTTGTTTTTGTTATTGTGAATAGTGCTGCAGTAACTCCTATTCTTAAGAGTGGATGAGGCTTGTCCACGTGCAGTGGTGTTTATAACTAATTGATCACAACTAATTACAAACTTCTTTGTTCCTTTTGCACTCTTACTGCTTCACTTGTCTAGCCTAAAAATATATATAGGTGACAAACTGAATGAAAGAAATGCTCTTCTCCCAGCCTCCTCAACTAGAAATAAATTCTAAGGTTGGCCTTTCTAATGAGAAGGAAATGATGCCTATCTTCCTCAGGTGAAAGTGTGGAAGAAAATGCTAGCGTCGTGGTCAAGCTGCTCATCAGACGCCCAGAGTGCTTCGGCCCAGCCCTGCGGGGTGAGGGAGGAAATGGCCTATTGGCCGCCATGCAGGGTGCCATTAAGATCTCTGAGAACCCAGCTCTAGATCTCCCCTCTCATGGATACAAGAGAGAAGTGTAAGTGAATGGAATTGCCTTCTGGCATGGATATGGCTGGGGAGCTTCCAAATATTGTCAGTACATGGATGGCTAAGGAGGTGTCTATAACTTCCCACGATAAAAAAAAACCACTGGTTCTTAGCAGTTGTGGTTGAGACATTTGTAATCATTGTATCCAGCACATGGTTGTCTTGACTCTTCCAGTAAGCCTACTGATCAGTATCACCTTTATCCCCTTCAGTTTTCTCTATTCCCCTCAGCACAACTGGCAAATCACAAAGTCAGCAAACTCTTGGCCTCCCTACAGCATTACCACAGGAGGATACCAAAAGGCCTAGACCAAGGTTATAGTCATTGTCTAACTCCAGCATGTTTTCTTTCAGTACTTTGAATGATGGTGTCTCATCCCATACTTCACTTTTAACAACAGGGAGTACCCTCCACTTCCTCTTCTGAAAGAGTAAACACTAATCAAGAAAGTGTTTTGATTTGACTCCTTAGGAAAATAAAAGCTGCAGAATGAAAAGTCACGGCATTCATAATCTCGTATTTAAAGGTTAAGGATGTAGTGTGGATTATTTGATTGCTGTGTTACTTTCCCTTTTTCCCATCTTGTGACCATTTTCCTTTCTGTGTAATAGCCTCTAGATTAGACCCTAACATCTAGAAAGTAGGTAGAACCCAGCAGCAGTAACTTTCCAGGCAATTGGCTTTTTTATTTTGTCATTAGTTCTGGTAGGTGAACTGGTAGAACTGAAATGAACCCAAAACATATGCTGTCCCAACTACCTCATATAACATGAGAAAAAAAACTAATGCCCAAGGTCACATAGCTTATTAGCAACAGAGCCAGAATATGGACTTGGCCCTGGTGGACTCCTTGTCTAATGTGCCTTTCATGTATATTTCCTTCAAGGGAGGAAAAGGGAATGAATGATGGGTAGGAGGTATAGTCTGCATGATCAGTTTATGTCACTACTTGTGCCTTAAAGTTCATGGGATCCTAGGAATATCATGAACAAATATTTGGGTCTTTTGAGCTTCATGCATAAAACCACCTCATCAACTTCTGGAGGGAGAAAGGTCCCAAAGGAAAGGGTGTAAGATGCCTAAGGAGTGCAGAGTGTTTATCAAGCAGTTTGTGTCTAAAACATGGCAGTGCCTACCAGCCCTCATCACACCTCCCCTATGTTGATTTTCTCAGCAGCTCAGAGGATGATGAAGAGGAAGAAGAAGTTGTACATATGGGCAATGCAATTATGTCATTTTATTCAGCTCTTATAGATCTACTGGGCCGCTGTGCTCCTGAAATGCACGTAAGTGATAGAGTTACCAGAGAGCAACTTTGAGTCATCTGTGCCAAGAACTCTGTAGATTTTCTGAACACAGTTTCTTCCTCTGTCTCTGGCATTTGCCAGCACACCTTTCTCTAGGCTCCTTTTATCTAACATCAAAAGTAGTTTCCATCTCTAGTGACTCATTCTGTAGCTTTCCACGGAGGGGCTCCTAGGCAGATCCTTGTGTTGTGTGATTTCTCTGTGGCATTCATTGAACATATCTTCTACACATTTTGTTTCAAAAGGCTCCCAAAATTATGTTTTCATGTGCCTCTGTTTGGTCATAATGTGACCAACTTGATTCTTGATCATGGCCATCACGACACGCCACGTGGAAAATCCTCTTTTCTTGATGACGATGGTATTAGCTCCCAGGAAGAGTCTCTTACTATGACATGTGTTTGGTTGTTTCCCAGAGGTAGAGCTTTGTAGCCATACACAGCCGTACATTGTTTTATGGAATGTCCTCTCAGACTTCTAGGTGTTTGGTTTGTTTGTTTGCTTGCTTGCTTGTATAACTTCCTTTTATTTGGGATTGCCGTAAATTGGCATGGTTACAGCTCATTGCGATCTCGACCTCCTGGGCTAGGTGATCCTTCTGTGTCAGCTTCCTGAGTAGCTGGGATTATGGATGCATGCCACCACACCCAACTAATTTCTTGATTTTTTTCTTTTTTTTTTTTTTTGTAGAGACAAGGTCTCACTATGTTTCCCAGGCTGGTCTTGAACTCCTGGACTTAAGCAATTCTCCCACCTCAGCCTCCCAAATTGTTGAGATTAGAAATATGAGCCACCTTACCCAACCTCAGACTTCTAGTTTTGACCTATAAAGAATGTTATTTCCCTTTTCTTTTTCACCTCTGCTGAGGACTGAGAGAGTTGGCCTTATTTCATATAAGACCTGACATTATTAGTGAGATGAGAGAGGAAATAATTGCTTTTCATGTGAAAATGAAGTCTAAATCCTGATTAGGAAGGTTGATCTGAATTCTTAGGATTCCAGTTCCTACTATAATAACCAGCCTTACCTACATAGCCCTGTCTTTCCATTTCTGTGCCTTTAAACAAATACAGGAAACTTGAAAGGGAGCCAAGAATTCTAGGGTTGTACAGTTTTGGGAGGAGTCAGGACCCCTGTGTATTCATACTTTAGCTTTCCTGATCAGCTCTCATCAGTTCAGAAAGCATGTTACATAGTTTGCTTCTTCTCAGGAAGGCAGCATGGGATAGCTAGGCCACCAGAGCCCTATTCTTCCTCTGCCTCTTTGCACCAGCATATTACACACACACACACACACACACACACTTCTCACAACCCTTCTCATGGACTCCTGCCATCATCCCATCATCCTGTCCCTTCGCATGGACAGCCTCCCCCTCCCCTTGGGAATGGAGGTGACACCAGGGTTGAGTGCACAGGGCTTCTCCTTTCCCTGGTGCCAGAGTATCATATCCTAGCACACCATCCAGCCCACCTGGGGTAGATCTGACTCTAAGCTGTGACAACTGAGGGACTGCTGCTCCTCCTTCAGAGACCGCTTGTGCAGGAAGCTGTGCATGAACACAAGTATACATATGGGTTGGCCCATTGGTGTCTGTGTAGATCAAGTTATTCACCCTGGGTAACTACACTGAAATGTTCGAGTTCTCTCTTTCATTCTCTACACCCTTCTTGCCTACTCCTCAGCATTAATCAAACTCTTAGAAAATTGAAATTCATAAGCCATTGCTACATGTAACAGAATTGTAGTCTGTCATTATGGCTACACTGTCAACACTTCCGTCATGCCAGTAGTGCAGTTACCAACAGTCTACACATTTACTGCTGAAGCATGACACCATAACCACATGACCATTTTAATCTCCACAAAGGAATCAAGTGACCTCCTTAGTCAGTTACTCCCTCAGTAGTGCCCCTTCTGGAAAATAAAGGGAATGCTTCCACCTTTTCCAGTGACCACTAGTGTCTGAAGCAATTAGGGAAATATAGAAGTATAACCTGCCCTAAAAGACTAAGGGAGACATTTTACTGCAAGAAGTTTGGAGGTAGGATGGAACAGGGTATGAGAACCTCACTTATGTAATCTTCTTCTCCAACCCTACCTTCCAGCTCATCCAGACGGGAAAGGGGGAAGCCATCCGCATCAGGTCCATCCTGCGTTCCCTGGTCCCCACAGAGGACCTGGTTGGGATCATCAGCATCCCCTTGAAACTGCCATCCCTCAACAAAGGTAAGGGAAGCAGATGTATGCAGAATCTGCCAGTCTCCCAACTGTCTGATTGCTCAGGGACAGGATCCTCCCCACTCTGGATAAAGAACATGTGGTACGTGTACACAATGGAGTATTAAGCAGCCATAAAGAAGAACAAAATTATGAACTTTGCAAGCAATTTGGATGGATTTAGAGTCCATGCTACTCAGTGATCTATCACAGAAACAAAGAACTGAGTACCATATGTTCTCACTCATAAGGGGGTCCTGAACATTTATCACAATACCACAAGAGTGGAATCAGCAGTAGCGAGACACTGCCGGGACACATAATATCACTAAGGTTACCTGATCCTAAACCAAGGAAGTAAGGACAAGTTGAAGACCCAAACTTCACCTGCACTTAGACTACTTATGTACCTAATCCTGATTTGTACCCTACATCTTCATAATAAAATTTTTTAAAGAAAAAAAATCTGCCCCCAGGGCAGAGTCCCAGGACCTGACTTGTGGGACAGGCTGCACAGGGAAAGTGTCTTGTTCTTTTTCCTATGATGAGGAGTTTTCTCCTCTAGGTTCCAGCTAACTGCCCTCTCCTCTGTCCCCCAGCCATGTCAAGACAACTGTACTGTACATTCTGCTGGTTCAGATAGACCTCACTGTCTCCAAATACTCCAACCCTCTGAAGGAAGCTGATGAAACAGGACAAATTAAAGCTCTTACCGCGGCCTCCCTTCTCCTTTGCCTCTGTGTCCTGCAGCTTGTATGTGCAGCTGGGGCAACAGACAGATGGGGCCTGACACAGGCTATCTTCTGCCACATCCTGTGCAACTCACAGTTGAGGGCTATAAAGTGTTTCTCTTCAACGCTACATGTGACTTTTTATATCAGGGTTATCCTTGTAGAACTTACACTGTCCAAAAATTGTCCTATTTCTCTGAGTCACTACACTTGCTATCCAGACAGATGGAGGAACCAAAAAGATAGCATGAGTCTAACTGTTGTCATGCTTCCCAAACTGATGTTCCATGGAACGTGTTTGTAGGTGATATAAATAGGTGTTCCTATTAATAAGGAAATTGGAGTCAAATATGTTTGGGAAATGCTGTGAAGTACACCACTTTTGTATGACTTCATGGAGCACAGTAAGATGTTGACATCGCTGAGAAAACATAAAGAAAATAAATTTTGAACTCAGTGTTTCCCAAACACTTAGTGTTTTTTGAGCACAAAACACTAATGTCTCACAATAATAATATCCCTTGGGACACCAAGAATGTATAAAATGAAGTCAGCCTCTGCCATTCAGGCCCAGCTCCTGCTGGTGTGTGGACAGGAGAGGCAGTAGGGTCCAGCCCAAAAGGTCCCTTCTCTGACTCTCCCAGGGCTTCACATTGATTCCTGGGAAGGACAAGGGTCTGAGCTGGATAGCACTTAATCTCTATGCCTCTCGGGGTGCCTTCTGAAGTCTTCCACCTTTCTAGTATGGTATGTAATTACTGAGAGTATTTGGAGGCTATTATCTGACTTAGGTAAAACTTAGACCAGATCAGCCATGACTTATTTTAATAGAGGTTCAAAAATGTATGGAGAATACTACGAAGAAAATAAGAGAGGTTCAAAAATGGATGGAGATTACCTTGAAGAAAATAAGAACTGCTTAACCTGGAGAATAAAGACAGGATTTTAAGCAAGGATAAAAAGCAGTCTTCTATTTTCCATTTTGTTTATACTAAGAACTAGGAAAGAGCCCCCAAAGAGCAAGCTGTAGTCACAGCATATTTAAAAACCATACTAGAAAGGTGTGTGACTTCATAATATACCCTGAGAGGTACAGAGATGGAGGATTATCCAGCCTGATCCTCAGGTTGAGTATACCTTTTCCAAAACACTTGGGACCAGAAGTGTTTTGGAGTGTTTTAGATTTTGGAATATTTGCATTATACTTACTGGTGGAGTATCCTGTCTAAAATCCAAAACACTCCAATGAGCACTTCATCGAGTGTCATTCAAATAGTTTCAGATTTTCAAGCTTATCTGATTTTAGATTTTTTAATTTGGGCTGCTCAACCTGTATTTTTTCCAACATTCCTTTATTATAAATAGAACAAGCCGAAAAGGTTTTGGAGGAGAGGGCGGGGCAAGCTCTGTCTGTGAAACTCTCCACCGAGGAGAACGCAAAGAGACTCTGATTCTCTCCGCGGAGGTTGCAAATCCCATCGTCTGCAGCCTGCTCTTCACACGGCGCTCGACCGTAGACTTTGCTGAGGCATCACCAAGGTCTAGGCAGCTACTGTGGTTGTGGTGGCTGCTGCTGCCACCCCGGCTGGCAGCCATTCCACATCGCACCACCAGTGCCTGGGGTGAGCCGTGGCCTCCCCCGAGGCAGCAGAGCCGCCGCCGCCCCCTCCCCCAAGGCAGCGGAGCGGCGCCGCCTCCTCCTCCGAGGCAGCCAAGCTGCCTCCTTCTCCAAGGCAGCTGCCACACAGAGGCAGCCATTACACATCGCACCACCTGTGCCAGTGGCCCAGCCGCCACCGCCGCCACCGTTGCTGTTGCCGCTGCCACCAAGGCAGGCATTCCACATTGCACCGTCAGTGCCTGAGGGACAGGCAAGCAACTGAGATAAAGACCATCTGGAGCGAGGGATAACACCACCTGCTGATGATTCAAGCCCACCACCACCAAGCGCTGGTCCGAGGCCTGGGGACCCTCAGTCCATGCAGGGCCGGATACTGCGGCCCCCTGCTGCTGCTGTTCCACCGTGTGTGTGGGAATCTCGGGTCTCAGCTAGCTCCCTGGCTACATCGTCTCTCATTGTCACCAAGCTGCTGATCACTCAGGGAGGCTCTGGATGCCCGCCCCTCAGAGACACTGGTCCCATTCCTGGCTGAAGTACCCTGTGGAGGGCCCAGGGCCACTCTCACCACTCACCGCCTGCCCGTTGGAGCTTTGGAGCTCTGGAGCTCTGGGCCCACCCTGGCTAAGGTACTCAGCCCGTGACCCCAAGCTTGGGGACCCAGACAAGCTGAGAGAAAGAGATCTATGAAAGAGAATCTGCCTCCGCCTTTCCCCAGGCAGAGATTTCCATTGCCCTGCCCACCTATCAACAAACTCCACCTCGGTTCCTAAGGTAGCACTGCTAAACAGGAGACAAAGCCCCACCCATAAGCTGAATCAGATAAAAGCAACTCCCAGGCAGCCAAACCTAAGCTGTGAGTAAACCTAGCTGCCTGCAATGGAAAAACAAAGGGGAGAGGCCGGAGATCAGAGCTGAGGTGATTTTAGTCTGATCTCTTATTGTGACTTATGATTTTATCATTTTGACTGTTTATTTTGATCACGTTCATTGTTTGCCTTCTGACTTACACTGTTTCCTGTTTATATTGGTTTGTCTCTGTGTAGCTATCAGTATTCTTTAGGGAATCTTTCTTATGTGTCTTCTTCCACTTCTCTCCGGCCTTGTGTCTCTTTCTCACCTG